CTCCTTACTGAAGTGAAAGTGTTGACTGGTGTCACTATCTCACGAACGCTATCTCACTATCTCACGAACGCGCCGGCGGATCTCCACCAAATTCGGGGGATCCCTTCAGCTCGAGGAGCCCTCTCGGTAGCCCCCCGGGATCGCTTGATCGGTCGGCGTCGGACCACAAATTTAACCACCCGTAACTCCCGAACCCCGGGGGCTCATTTGAAAGCGGGCCTCTAGACGTGCACTCGATTCACGTTCGAGAGGGTTTCTCGAGCTGAAGGGATCCCCCGAATTTGGTGCGGATTCGCTGCGCCGTTACGGAGATATGGCCGTTCAAAGTTTCAATGGTTTTCCATAGACTCAAGCTTTAAAGCGTTTCATTCAGGTCGCCAGTAGCAAACAATGGAGCGCGCTCTGCTGGACAAACTAAGTAATTACACCATTTCAAGCATTTTATCTGCGTTATATGTTCTGTAAAAAAAAATTCATATCGGCGCCATATTTGCCGATACCGATATATCGGCGACAGGCTCATATCGGCAAAACGATATACCGTTCGGCCTCTAATTATTTATAACTAATAAATTGCTTTTCGCTCTTACATGACAATAATTTAAAGCAGTCAGCCCAGTCATGCAAATATATCTACTACAGTGATATAAACAGTGTAGAAAAATACACCATTTCTGACAGGAATCCTGGTTGAGTCTCACCAGTCTGGGCTCTGGGCAGGCGAGACGGTTGCAGGAGGGTCGTCTGAACACTCGTCTCTGGGGATGGGAATGGCTGCAGGGGCTGGAACGGGAGGAGGAGAGGAGGAAGAGGAAGGCGCAGCGACAGATTTGGGTAGTTCTGAGGGTGGAGTGGGTGGTCCTGGTGCTTTTGTCTGGACAGAAAAAGAAACAAAAATGGTTCTTAAGATCTTTTGATTGTTATCTTAATTCAGACGGTCAGTGGTCAACTCTGACCTTTGACACCATGACCACCACAAAGTTCTTCTCGTCGATTTTGTACTCCTTGATGGGCGTATCATCCTGCAGGATTTTCCCAGCGTAGATCAGCTTCTGTCCCGCTACTGGAAAACTTTCTCGGCCCTTCTCAGCCTCAATCTTCTCTTTCAATGCCTTCACCTGAGTCAAAACCATAATTATAATTATTAAAGTCATACATTTACATCATCAAAGGAAAATAATACATGGATATTTAAGCAACCAGACATGCTCTGACCGCTATTTCAAGCCTGTCTTTTAATAATACTGTTATAACAATGGTGTTATCTTTAAATATGTGACCCTGGACCACCAAATAAGGGTCAATTTTTTGAAAACTAATCAAAAATTAAGTTTTTATATATTTACGGTAGGAAAGTTACAAAATATCTTCATGGAACATTATCTTTACTCAGTATCCTAATGAGTAATTAGGATATTACTCATATTGCTACAAATATACCCGTGCTACTTATGACTGGTTTTGTGCTCCAGGGTCACAAATAATCTGTAACTCTATATTATATAGTACATAAACCTGACAGACTAATTATCGTGAGTTGCGTTTGTTTATACTATACAGACAAATATCTATCTATCGCCTTACACGATCAGCTGATCCCCAATGACTCAAAAAGCCACTTAAATCGTTCTAAATATACTCCTGTCGTGAATAGTTATTCACTCAGAGTACTTCTACTTGTTGTAACGTATTTAGATGAGCGAAAGAAAGCGCGTAAATACCGTCTGCTCATCGTCGATGTCTATTTGAATGGTCTGCTGCTGCAAAGTCTTCAGTGTGATCTGCATGACTGCTCTGCCTTTGTCTTCTCCTTTCTTCTTGATTCGGGACCTTTGAGCACTTCTATATCCAGAGGAAATGTTTGACTTTGAAAGCGAGGGACCGGTATTAAGCGTTTAGAGATGTAGCTCTCTAGCTAACAGGCTAAAAACACGCCTGTCAGGTGCGCTGCGGCATTTTCTTCGGCGGTGGCGGAGCGGAGGAAGGAGCTCTGACACAGCGACATCCTCCGGAACTGAGGGGAATGACACTTTGAGTGCGCGGAACCCAAAAATACAAATTCTGACATTTATTTACATTATAAAAATGACCTTAGAGATGACATGGACATGGATATTTGGGATGGTTTAATTTAACTTTATGATCGTGTTTTGTCTCACCCTTTTTTGTCTTATAGTTATTTTTATTAAAGCGAAAATGCCTTGTACAAACCTGTTTGGTCTTCCTTTTATTTATTTATTTATTTTCCACTAAACCAGTCGGCTCTGCACTAAACACAGCACAGAATAAATATTTTAAATTAAAAATGTAAATAAAAATATTTGTAAATGCAAAGTCTTCAGTGTGATCTGCATGACTGCTCTGCCTTTGTCTTCTCCTTTCTTCTTGATTCGGGACCTTTGAGCACTTCTATATCCAGAGGAAATGTTTGACTTTGAAAGCGAGGGACCGGTATTAAGCGTTTAGAGATGTAGCTCTCTAGCTAACAGGCTAAAAACACGCCTGTCAGGTGCGCTGCGGCATTTTCTTCGGCGGTGGCGGAGCGGAGGAAGGAGCTCTGACACAGCGACATCCTCCGGAACTGAGGGGAATGACACTTTGAGTGCGCGGAACCCAAAAATACAAATTCTGACATTTATTTACATTATAAAAATGACCTTAGAGATGACATGGACATGGATATTTGGGATGGTTTAATTTAACTTTATGATCGTGTTTTGTCTCACCCTTTTTTGTCTTATAGTTATTTTTATTAAAGCGAAAATGCCTTGTACAAACCTGTTTGGTCTTCCTTTTATTTATTTATTTATTTTCCACTAAACCAGAGTCGGCTCTGCACTAAACACAGCACAGAATAAATATTTTAAATTAAAATGTAAATAAAAATATTTGTAAAATATCGAAATAAAGAATAACACTATAATACAGAGGGTTTACAAAATAAATAAAGAAGTAAATAGAAGCGTCTGCTAAATGATTAAATGTAAATGTAAATAGAAAAAGATCATATCAAAGTTCAATGTTTTACTTTTCAGTTATCTTTATTCAGGTAACTCTTTTGCATATACGGTTGTCCTATATCTTTTTTTATATAAATACACTTAAGAAAATCAATAAACATACAGTTCAACAATAATTATCTAAAAACATGGTTTAAAAGTACTCCTTTTGGTTTTGTGTATGTGAAATGTACCGAATAAAATCATAAGATTCACCATGAAAATTAATTATATTGACTATATTAACTATAGATTTTTATTCAAAGTATATAAAACATTTTTTGCACGATATATAAAAATTACAGTTTAAATTACAAAATTAAATGACCTTTTTGCTGCAGCAGCAGCAGCAGTCAAAAATAGGCTATATTTTCTCCCTGGCTGTTCTGAACAACACAAACAACTTTTATTCATGTGCAATCATGTTTATATATGAAGGACCGGGAGTGAAGACTTTAAAGGATTTCTCGAATCATGTTAGATAGATACACAAAAGAGAAATGGGTGACCTTGTGTTCAAAATGTGTTGTTTCAGTGTTTGCGTCAGCGTTCAGTACAAAAACTACAACAACCACAATCCACAGATCAACCCACTTCCGGTCCAAGAGTTTGTAAACAATGAAAGGAGATATGGAGTCGTCAAGAGGTCTTACCTAAAAACATTGCTCTGTACAGGCCATAATAAATGCATATTATATGTCATGCATGTTGTGCACACCGGTAAGCATTAAACCAACCGGGACGTATCGGTTTTCAAGGATTCCCACTCTTTTAAACGTCTTTCGTGTGTGTGTGAAAATCGGACCGCTGGCTAGCGACGCGTTTGTTTTTCTACATACTAGAGTCTAGACAGACATCAGACACAACGGGCTGCGGAAACGACGGTCCCTAAACACAACCGAAGACTGGCGAGTCTTTCAAAGGCCACCTAGACGTGATTTTGGAGGGTTTGTCGTGTGGTGCAGGTTCTGCTCAATGGGGAACTGTCTGTCTTCTCAAGGCGCTGATGATCTGTCCCTGCTCAACGAGTCCGAGGGGGCGAGTCTGCCAGGAGAGCCTCCGCCACCCTACCAGGTACCACAGGCTAGTAGACCACAACACTGTCATTCTGCTGTGTACAGCACAGACTAGACTGCAGACAAGCTCGGATTGTGTGCCATATGTTATAGTAGTAATAGCAATGGGTATGCAACTGTCTGATCTAGATCTAAAAAGGAACAGGAAAAGTTTGCCTATTTCAGGTTTTGAGAAATGCAGTTTGTCATCATAGATATGCATCTTAGGTATTGACTGTGATCTCTGACTGAAAAAAATGTACCATGGCTGTTTTGGACACTACAATGACAGTATAGGTTGTAATGCCATATTAAGGTATAATAATAAAAAAAGGTAAATAAATAAAGTGTCTGAGCTGGGCCAGATCGTGTTTTTGAAAGCCTGCCATACATTTTAAAGAAATGCTTCCTTAAATTACAGCACATCTGTACTTTGTACTTGCAAATACAAAACTGCAACATAACATAGTTTCTTTTATGGGCTTTTAAATAAATAAAGGACAGTGCATTATTTAACAGTTCAGAGAATGTGATATAAAGAATAAAAAACAACCGTAATACAGAAGAACATATATAAATAAATAAAATATTTGTGTTGCATTCAAAAGTTTCTTGCTTTGTGTTCTCATGTTTGAAAGACTTTTAGAAGTCATCATAAGATCAGTCTTACATATATGTTATTCTGGACGTGTGAATGCAACATTTTACTGAAATAATTAAAAGAATAATTATGTAATTTTATTTTTATGAAAAGTTTGGATTTTGTTAATAAAGTAAAAATATTATTACATTCTAAATTTAAATTAATTATTTTAATTTAAAATAATTTTTTATATTTCCGTATAATATCAATCTAAAATGAGACAGAGAAAGGGCAAATAAATAAAAAAATAAATACAATTTATCTTTTAAAAATGTAATCAATTCAAAAATCATTAATCTTCGTATTTTTCACATACAGCATGGATATATCTTCTAATGGCTGCATTTACAGGATAGTGTCAATTCATATTTTTTGTTATTTCTTTTATTTTGTTAAACTACACACTTTTATAAAATAAAGGTTCCAAAAGAGGGTTTTCGCTGAGATGCTACAGAAGAACCTTTTTTTTTTTTTTTTGCCTTTCAGTGATCAATTCTTAAAAGAACCATTTTATCTTAGTGTGATTTTAATAATCTAAGAAACCGTTTTCCACTATAAAGAACTATTTTGTCCCTATTTTGAAAAGATTGCATGGTTGCCGATGCCAATAAAGAACCTTTATTTTTAAGAGTGTGAAGTTCTAATAAGCCCTTTTGTGTGCTCTAACCACATGTTAGCGGATTGCATTAATTATGTGTGATCAAACGCTCTGGTGACCCCAGGAGCGGGCGCAGGTGCCAGTGTACCATCCCACACCCAGTCAGACGCGGCTGGCCACTCAGCTGACGGAGGAGGAGCAGGTCCGTATCGCTCAGCGCATCGGCCTCATCCAACACCTGCCCCGAGGGATCTTTGACCCGGGATCGGAGCCGTCCGACAAGAAGATCAAAGAGTGTGTGATGTCCAGAAAACACGTGAAAACTAGTGCTGTCAAACAATTAATCGCATCCAAAATAAAAGTTTTTGTTTACATAATATTATGTGTGTGTGTGCTGTGTATATTTATTATGTATATATAAATACACACACATGCATGTATATATTTCAGAAAAATATTATACACAGCACACACATATATTATGTAAACAAAAACTTTTATTTTTGGATGCGATTAATCACAAGTAATCGTTTGACAGCACTAGTGAAAACCACTTTAAAATCTAGCTGGCTGCATGTAAAAATGTTTGCCATCTGCCCACAGGTGTGTGATCTGCATGATGGACTTCGAGTACGGCGACCCGATCCGGTTCCTGCCCTGCATGCACATCTATCACGTGGACTGCATTGACGCCTGGCTCATGCGCTCCTTCACTTGCCCTTCCTGTATGGAGCCCGTCGACGCTGCGCTGCTGTCTTCTTACGAGACAAACTGAGAGTGCCTGCGGAAAAACCGAGAGACGTGCCAATGAGTCTGCCAAGAGCCCCGAAACGTTTGGGACAGTAGATTGAACAAATGAAGGTGGTTTGACTCTGTGTGTGTGTGTGTGTGTGTGTGTGTGTGTGTTCAGAGACTGTAAAAATGTCTAGTGTTAAACTTAAAAGGCCCTGGAAGGATGTTTAAAACCTCTCACTTGCATGTCAAAGCGCTTTTCGAATACATATACATGTAATTGATGTAAAAGTGAAGTTTAGCAAGGTGGAAAACCATGGAAGCATCTCTAATGAAGATAGAGTGTTTCAAAAGCCAATTCGAATGAGTAAATTAGGGTTAAATTAATAAATTATATACTTTTTTTTCTTTTCGTTCTAACCAAATTCATGAAATGTGCAATATATGCGAGAGGGACTCATGTCCTTCTGATTGGATGTGGAACCCGCCCACCGCCAAAATTCCGCCAATGAGATCATCCCTTTCTGAATTTGACAAGTCTAGAGGGCAGAGTTTCATTTCTGCAGGCTGTGAATGTGCCTTTTACGGCTCACAATTAGAATGCTGAGAAACCGAATCTACAAGAAAACATGTGCCATGATGATAATGTTGAAGCTCGTGATGCACTAACTGGTGTTTGAGGTGGTAGTTTTACATACTTTTTCTATCATTTTCTCGATCACTACGGATGGGTGCATCCACATCTAAATAGCTTGATAAATGCGTCACGTTATGTCATTTCGTGTTTAATCATAATGGGGTTGGTGATGAGGTTGTTTAGTGGTAGTTTTGCCTCATCAGCTGCTGTTTTCCAGGTTCTGGGATGTAAGTTGCCTTTTTACACTGGTTTTGGATCATCTTTCCCCTAAATGCTTGTTTTTGGTGTTACATGTTGGATCCTGTTTGTCCCCACTTAGCTTTGCCTTGCCTTGTCTGTTTGGATAGAACCGTGGGCACCGTCTTCAGTAGTTTTCTTTCTTTATTTTGGAAGAGAATAATAATGATACAATCGCCAAACTTTGTGCACCTTTCAAATGTTGCAGACTTAAAGTCAGCCTTTACAGTGGAAGCTTTAAAGTTATTCCTTGTTGTTTTCCTGATTGATGCAAACTATTTTTTTTCTTTTTGAACATGGAAAAAAAGCAGTACATGCTTCGATCAGTTTTGATACTGTTCGTAATGTCTTTGAGTCTTTTCTGTATGTTAGCTGAATACATGATCTTATACCTGTCAGTTTGAACTGCTTGTGCAAAAAGGAAGATTTTCACCTTTGTTGTTTTGTTTGCTCAGTCATTGTGCTGGATTAATCATGTTAATCGGGCTAAACTGTGTTAAGAGCCCCATGATTAGCCTGAAACTGTATTCATAAAATATTTCATCCTGCTCAAGCTCACCTCTGTATCTCTGTACTGAACCATTGTGACTTAAAATGTGATTGAATACCGAGAACAGTGTCTGAAAATCTCGAAATCAGCCTGTTACTGCTCTTAGATATCATATTGGATGAATTACTTAATTTTCTGTTAATGATTCAGAATTGAAATGTAGCTCTAGCACAACACAAATGTAAAAATAAATGTCATAATTCTGTGAAGTACAATCACCGCAACATTATATTTTGTTTCAAAATAAAATAAAATTAATAATAAAAAAAAGAAAAGCTTGTTGGTGCCATATAAATGTAAGTTTGCCAACAAAAACATTAGCAGGCATACTATTAAAATGAAGTGTTTGGTTTATATGCAATAATGGCACAAGAATAGTATTATAATACAATAAAGGTTGCCAAATTCTTCCATATCTACCCGTTTTGTGTGATTCTGTCTTCCAAGTACACAAATGAACAACGCACGATAAATATTTAACGATCCACTACTCACCCAACATGTGATATTATTATTATTATAAGTGTATTTACACTTCCAACTAATGAGAAATAAATTCTCGTGCTGTGAAAGTAGTTGGTACAGTCCGGCTGAGTCATCAGCGTAATCAACACACTTCCGTTCGCGACTGGCCACCCCACACGGGCCATTTTGGATCTAAGTTCTGTCCATTCTAGCGTGGTGTTTCTGCTGTTGCGGAGCCAAAATGGCGGAGTGTGCAGCTGCCGCTTTGGTGTATTCCAACCGATTTGAGCGCAAGATGGCAGCTTCAGTGGAAGACGAGTTTGAGGATGCGCCTGATGTAGAGCCTTTAGAGCCGACATTAAAGAATATTATAGAGCAGAAATCACTCAAATGGATATTTGTGGGTGGTAAAGGTGGCGTGGGCAAGACAACATGCAGGTGAGTGAATAAACGTCGGGGTTTTACAGCTGAGAGGCTGTTAGCTGTCAGTGCTGCTTTAGCAACAACATAGATTAGTCATTCATACATGTTTGCTATATTACTGTATTGCATTACTGGTGAAAAACACGCTGAAACTCATTAATGTGTCCCTTAAAATGCATGCTTAAAAACGAGCAAATGACAAAACAATTCTCTAAATATAAAACCTTACACGAGTCGAGATGGTAATTTATGATATTTCATAAAAATACCAAAATGTTGGTATTTTTAAAAATCATTTTCTATAAGAATAATAATTCATTAATTCTTTGATAACATATCACAGAAAAACAGACACATAAATGAAAGCGGTTGATATTAATCATCTAAGCAGTTCATATTTACATTTATATCATACAATCTGCCATCTATGATACAGCCACTTTGTTATTCTATAGTAATAATAATAATGTGATTTTTTTACTGCAACAGGTGTTTATAAATGGCAGAATTCACAAAATGTGTTCTTGCACTTAAGATATTTCTTACATGAACTGATTGACAATTTGTGATTAAGTTCATTTGTCATTTTTGGTTTGCTTAATAAAGAAAACATACTGAAAAAAAGATAATATAAGATAAGAAACTATATTGTCATTATAATAATACAACGAAATTAGTTTGGTAGCTCTCAGAGACCATCCAATATTCAAAGTTTTCTCAATCATAATATAATGTCATTCAAAAATACTGTTTAAATGCTGATTTCTTCTCTGGTTGTATTGTATCTAGAGTAAGTGTTTATATAAGTTTGTTTGGCTTGTTGTGTTGCAGCTGCAGTCTGGCGGTTCAGTTAGCGGCGGTGCGAGAGAGCGTCCTCATCATATCCACAGATCCAGCACACAACATCTCAGATGCCTTCGACCAGAAGTTCTCCAAGGTGCCCACCAAAGTCAAGGGCTACGACAACCTCTTTGCCATGGTACGTTATCAACGGCACACACTGTTGGCACTAAATGCTGTGTGTACACTAAAAACAGTGCCATGACATTCACCAACATGACCTGCTCAGTCCTTATACACACCAGTGTGAAAGAATTGTCACAGAAAAGCAGTTCTATTAAACTGCATCGTTTAGCTTATTTATACTGAATCTATAAATATCTAGTCAATTTAAATTAGCATAAACTCATGTGAGATTCACTTCAGGAACTTGTGCTGTTCTTGCCAGAAATATAAATCACATCCTTTTCTGTTATGACTGTGAAGATGTTGCAAGAAAAAAGGAAGGGGAAGATGAAACTTGGACAAACAATGTATTAGTATCTGGTTTAAAGGTTTCTATTCTTTGAGATATAGTTCAATATACCCGTGTTTATTTTAGCTTTATATAATCGTGTTTAGGTGATGATATACATGAGGTAAGACTCTGTTCTCCATCGTTGTGTCTCTGTAGGAGATCGACCCCAGTCTGGGTGTGGCGGAGCTCCCCGATGAGTTCTTCGAGGAGGACAACATGCTCAGTATGGGGAAGAAGATGATGCAGGAAGCCATGAGCGCTTTTCCCGGCATCGACGAGGCCATGAGCTACGCAGAGGTCATGAGGTCAGACTCAGTCAGCTTCCTGCATTGAACATATTGCACTATAATAGTCTCACAATGCAATATTTCTTTCTAAACTGCATCGTCTTGAAAAGCTCTAGTCATAGGGGTGTTTAGATGAGGTTTGAGCCTTCATTAGCATTTCAAACACTTCTTCGATAAAGAGTTGTAAGTCAAGAATGAAACCAAAGGGCTCCAAAATGAATCACAGCATTACAAACTTTCCTTCAAAGCATCCAAAAGACAAGGATAAAAGTGTGCAATGAATTACATAATTCAGTAATAAAAAAAATTGTAAATAAAACCGGGTTTTATCTTGGCCTTTTAATGCAGTAACACTCTTCCACATCTAGATGGCAAACCACCCACAGTCACTTTTTACACCCACATTCAACAGTCATTTTTATGTTGTTTATTTAAAAATATGTATAAAATATGTGTGGTGTATATAATCATTAGCTTATTGTTATTTATGTATTTATTTATTAATATAATTATTATTATAGAAATAAATTAATAAATTGTAGAAATACATTTATACAGTTATTTTGGTCCTTCGGAAATCATTCGAATATGCCGATTTAACATTTTTTAAATTTCTCTCGGGACACACTCTGCGTCTGCTCAACTTCCCCACCATCGTGGAGAGAGGACTGGGCCGCCTCATGCAGATCAAGAACCAGATCAGCCCCTTCATCTCACAGGTATCAGCACTGCATTCTGGGAATTGCTGTGTTTGTAAAATAGCACTGGAGAATAGTGGAATATACAAGTGTATGGTAGAGAAATGTATAAAAGTTTATAGAAAAAGTGTGAATGTTTATTTAAAAAAAAAAAAACCCCCAATTTGACTTCCTGTCAAACCATTGCAGATGTGTAGCATGTTGGGCCTGGGAGACATGAATGCAGATCAGCTGGCGTCTAAACTGGAGGAGACGCTCCCCGTCATCCGCTCAGTCAGCGAGCAGTTTAAGGACCCGGTGAGTGTCACGCCTCAGTGGTCCCTGTTAATGCCTGATCAGAAGGATGAAAAATGTTGATTTCTGTTTGGCATGCAGGAGCAGACGACGTTTATCTGCGTGTGCATCGCAGAGTTCCTGTCTCTGTATGAGACGGAGCGTTTGATTCAGGAGCTGGCCAAGTGTCGCATCGACACGCATAACATTATCGTCAACCAGCTGGTTTTCCCCGACAGCGAACGGCCCTGCAAGATGTGTGAAGCCCGACACAAGATTCAGTCCAAGTATCTGGACCAGGTGTGTGTGTGACCAGTTAAGACAAATTACATTTTATGACTTTGCATTTATACACTACGGAAACCTGTGACAAGATTCCTAGTCTTAGTAGAAAGAAGGAAAGTGTCTGTCAGTGGAGGTTCTTTACTGTGCCATTTTGGTCTCAGTATCTTTATAGTGAAACATGATCTGCAAGATGTAATGTCATTCCGACGTATAGCGCCGCTGTGTTACGGGCGTCCCGAGTTCGAATCCCAGCTCGAGGACCTTTCCCGCTCCCACTTGGCTTCCTGTCTGTTTACACTATCCTATCATAATAAAGGCTAAACATAATGTCATTCAGATCGAACCAATGCATAATTTACTTTAGTTACATTTTATTGTACCTTCAGGAGTTTAAAAATCAAATCTAATTTCTTCAATCTCTTCCTCGTTCCTTTCTTTTCTTTCCTTTCTGTTCTATTTCTTCCTTTACTTCCCTTTTCCTACTTTACCTTTTCTTTTTCCTCTTCCTTTTGGTGTTTATACTTTTCCTTTTCCTTTGTTTTCCCACCGTACCTTGCTCCTTCCTATTCCTTTCCATCTTCTCTTTTCTCTTTCTCTTTTCCTCTTTCTCTTTCTTTTTCCTTTATAATTTCCTTTTTTAATTTACCTTTCCCTTTTCTACCTTTCCATACTTTTTCTGTTCTCTTTACTTTTTCTTTTTCTTCACACTTTTTCCTCCTCTTCTTTCCTTTCTACTTTTAAATTTTTCTTTATCCTCCCCCAATTATTTTCCCTATTTCTGTTTTCCTCTATTTAATGTTTTATTCTTCCCTTTCTTCCTCCTGTTTACTTTCTCTCTCTGTACATTTTTCTTCCTTTTCCTTCCTCTTGTTTTTCTTTATAATTTTTCCTATTATTTTCCTTTCCTTTCCTTTCCTTTCCTTTCCTTTCCTTTGCTTTCTTTCCTTTCCTTCCTTTTCTTTCCGTTCCTTTCCTTTGATTTCCTTCCGTTCCGTTCCTTTCCTTTGATTTCCTTCCGTTCCGTTCCTTTCCTTTGATTTCCTTCCGTTCCGTTCCTTTCCTTTGATTTCCTTCCGTTCCGTTCCTTTCCTTTGATTTCCTTCCGTTCCGTTCCTTTCCTTTGATTTCCTTCCGTTCCGTTCCTTTCCTTTGATTTCCTTCCGTTCCGTTCCTTTCCTTTGATTTCCTTCCTTTCCTTTCCTTTGAGTTCCTTCCTTTCCTTTGCTTTCTTTCCTTTCCTTCCTTTTCTTTCCGTTCCTTTCCTTTGATTTCCTTCCTTTCCTTTCCGTTCCTTTCCTTTGATTTCCTTCCGTTCCGTTCCTTTCCTTTCCTTTCCTTTCCTTTCCTCCCCTCCCCTCCCTTCCCTTCCCTTCCGTTCCCTTCTTTCCTTTCCTTTCCTTTGATTCCTTTGATTTCCTTTCCTTTCCTTTCCTTTGATTTCCTACCTTTCCTTTCATTTCCTTTCCTTTGATTTCCTTCCTTTCCTTT